ATGTTATCCCTCCCCAACTCCACTAAGCTTCTTTTAAGTGCCATGCCCTTTTCTAGCTATGAAGTTAAAGCAGTGAATAAAACAGCCAATAATCTTTCTGCCTGTGAAGCTCACATTCTAAGGAGCTTACCCGCCTGTCGGTTCCTCCTGAGTAACTCTGGAACCCATCTCCTATTCTTTGTGGCCAGATCTTCATCTTCTTTTTTAACTGGATGAATGAGATAGCCTTCTGATATTTTCCTTTCTTTCCTCTGCAGTTTTGATCCCTTGCAATTCACCATGCTCATTTTAACCACAATCATTTTCCAAGACCGAACTCTGATTATGTCCCTATACTGAATTTCCATCTTTTTTAAAGTTTGAGTTCCATGGCTCAGCATCCAGATCTCTTTATGAGCTCACGCTCATCTAGATTTTTAAAATCATTTCTTCGTGTTCTGAAATACACCTTGAACTTAAAGCCATGATGACTTACTCTCAGTTCTTGAAATTTGCCTCAATACTTCTATTTTCAGCTTTTTGTACGGGTTGCTCCCTCTGCCATTCCCACTCTTCTCTGCAAAGGCTCATCCCTCAGTGTCAACACAAACACATCCTCCTCAATACTCCCTGGACTATCAAACATGAGTTAGGAATTTTGTTCCATGATGTTCCTGAATGATATACATGACTTTATAATAGTTCTGTTCTCACAGGCTTTATTCTGGACCCTCCTACCCATTACATAAACAGATGAGATTCTTTTCTTTTTTCTTTTTAAAAATGAAAATCTTATTGTGTTAACATTCTCATGTGTACTATCTCACTCATCTATTCTCCACCTATTTCTCTGGTCTCATCTCTCCTAGTTCTTTTTTTGTCCATTGCAAGTAACTCTACTGGCTGGCTTCTCTTCCGGTTTTTGAATACATCATCTTTATCATGGTGTTTCTGTGCCTGTAATGCCTCTTTCTTTCTCTCTCTCTTTCTTTCTTTCTTTCTTTTCTTTTCTTTTTCTTTCTTTCTTTCTTTTTCTCTTTCTTTCTTTCTCTTCTTTTCTTTCTTTCTTTTTCTCTTTCTCTCTCTTTCTTTCTTTCCTTCCTTCCATCCTTCCTTCCTTCCTTCCTTCCTTCCTTCCTTCTCTTTCTTTCTTTCTTTCTTTCTTTCTTTCTTTCTTTCTTTCTTTCTTTCTTTCTTTCTTTCTTTCTTTCTTTCTTTCCTTCTTTCTTTCTTTCCTTCCTTTCTTTTTTTGATGCAGTTTTGCTCTTGTTGCCCAGGCTGGAGTGCAGTGGTGTGATCTTGGCTCACTGCAACTTCTACCTTCTGGTTTCAAGCAATTCTCCTGCCTCAACCTCCTGAGTAGACACCCACCACCATGCCTGGCTAATTTTTGTATTTTTAGTAGAGATAGGGTTTCACCATGTGGGCCAGGCTGGTCTCAAACTTCTGACCTCGTGGTCTGCCTGCTTCAGGCTTCCAAAGCACTGGGATTACAGGCATGAGCCACTGCACCCAGCCTGGAATGCCTTTTTCTAGCTCTACTCATGGCAGACTCATACTCACCCTTTAGGTCTAACCTTGGTTGTCACCTGATCAGAAATGCCTTTTTGGATTACCCCTTCTACAATGCTCTTCTCTGATTATTCTGTATCCTAATACACTATTTAAATCCCTCTTTGCACCACCCATAATATAGATGCATATAGGTTGTTCGTTAAGGATCTCTGCTGATCTCTGGAATGCAAGCATACAAATGGAAATGTGTATCTTTCAACACTCTATTTCCAGTGCCTGGAACATTTCTTGGCACATAGCGATTAATAAACATTTATTTAAAGGATAAAAATGTAGCCTCCCTAATTTGTCACCAACTCATCCATTCATACATTCATTCCACAAATATTTACCATTTTCAGTTCTCTGATTTTAAAACGCAGCATAGTATTTGGCAAATAGTAGGGCCTCAAAATATATCAGCTGAATTAACAAATAGTACTGACCATATGCTGCTATTTGCTTCTTTCTCTCCTACTAGGCTGTGGAGATGCTATGTAATACCATTATCCTATTATAGGTAACTAAGTAGCATTTTATTAAATATAAATGAAACCAGCAAAATCACAACCTAGTACAATAAAGTTACAAAATTATTTTAAATGGAATTAAGAAAATGATGAATAATAAGATTTTTTCTACATAAAATTGTTCAAGTCAGAGCTAGGAACTGTCAATAATAATGAACTGGGACAGGGAACAAAAGTCCTACCTGTGGGTTAGCACAGCAAGCTTGAGTCCTTTCTGCCATTTGGATGACGCAGCAGTGTGTCCTAACACTGTATCCTGTGATCGCTGGCCTGGCTTCTATTGTGCATGGTGGAGATGAAAGAAAATGTACCCATCGTGAGTTGCCTAACAGAGCAAGTGCTTGTCAGGCACTCAGTAAATATCAGCCTCATATTGAAGAAGATCAACAAAATAAATTAATTTTTGTTACAGACTAACATAATAAAATCTAGGCTCAAAAAATGTATTTTTGCAGATTTAGCCTTTGCACTGGTAACTTTTTAATATTGTCAAATTCTAGAAATAAAATGTTATTTTCAGACCATTATCACCATAAGAATGGTTACACAAGTATATAATAAGTAGAAACACATATCTTTTAGTGAAATATAGTGATATTTTAATGTATTTTGTTTTTGAAATTAATATTAGTGTTAACTAATGGTATTTATCAGTTTTCAAAATATGTTTTTGAAAACAGTTTTATGTGGAGGAAGACACGTTTATTGCTTAAATCACAGAAGGGGTACATATTAATAACTAACTCTCATATCTGGAAAGTAAATTTAAATGAGCTTTTGGTCTTCTAGGATAATTAAAAGCATCATTGTGTCTGGGTTTGATGGTTCACACCTGTAACCTCAGCACTTTGGGAGGCTGAGGTGGAAGGATCTCTGTATGTCAGGAGTTTGAGACCAGCCTGGGCAGTGTAGCAAATCCTCTCTACAAATGAAAACAAATACTAACCAAAAAAAATGCAAAATAGAACATGATTGTTTTGTTCAGTATTGGAGTAGCCAACATTCAAGATGGCCCCCAGTGATCTCTGCATCCTTGTCTTTACACTCTGGAGAAGTCCTCTTCCACATGGTTCCATACTTGGTCTGTGTGACCAATAGTGACAGAAGTGATGATAGCATGTCACTTCATAGGTAGATTATAAAAACTCATGCCTTCCATCTTGGCCACTTTGGGAGAAACAAACTGCCATTCTGCAAGCAGATGCCCCAGTGGTCAGAAAGAAAGCCTTCCTGGGTCCACAGTCATTGAGGAACTGAGGTCTAACAACAGCCATGTGAGGGAGCTTGGAAAGGCTTTCTCTAGAAGAGTGGAAGCTTGCAATGAGACTGCAGCCCTAGCTGACACAGCATGACTACACCTCCTGAGAGACCTGGGCCAGAACCACTCAGCCAAGCTGCTCCCAGATTCCTTACCCACAGAAACTGAATTGGACAATAAATGCTTGTTGCTTTAAGTTGGGTAAGTTTTGGGATAATGTGCTACAGATAACTAACACAAGTATCCAATCTGATTTATTCGGTATATTGCATGTCTGAAACTCAGTATCCATGAAAGTAATCTAGACTTCTACACATAGTAAAATGTTTATAAAGGCCAAAAGAAGTAAGTAAAGAAGCAATTAAATGATAAAAAGAAAAATAAGAAATAAATAATTTGATGGTGAAACAGTAGAACTTCTGGTCATATCTCTGCAGCTGTGATAAAGAGATTTTGGAGATGGTGCAGGATTGTGCTGAGCTATAATTCTTCATTAGAGCAGAAGTCTGCACTATAACTTTTGGGCATTTCCTTTTACAATGTTAAAGTTATAAAGGTGTTATAAGTTGTAAGGTGGCTAAATCATATTTATTTGACTACCACTGTCCATTTCAAGTCCTTTTTAGATACTTCTTTTGATTTCTAAACTTTCTCCAATGAGTCTATATTAATTATATATCAGAAAACATAACTATTGGTCAGGTACAGTGGCTCATGCCTGTAATCTCAGCACCTTGGGAGGCTAAGGTGGGAGGATCACTTGAACCCAGGAGTTCAAGACCAGCTTGAGCAACATAGTAAGATCCTATCTCTACACCAAAAAAAATGTTAAAATTCGCCAGGCATGGTGGTGCACATCTGGGGTCTCAGCTCCTTATGGGCTGAAGCAGGAGGATCCCTTGAGCCTGGGAGTTTGAGGCTGCAGTGAGCCATGATCACAACACTGCACTCCATTCTGGGTGACAAAGCGAGACCCTGTCTAAAAAAAAAAAAAAAAATTTTTTTTTCTGTTCACTTAAGTTTTTACATACACACAGGTGTAAGTTTTTCAGCATCTCTGGAGCTAGGAATTGGAAATGAGTAATTCAATTGTCTGTGGTGGATTTTTCCCAAAGGAGATGCCTTAAATCCAGTTCTGGAGTCTGTGTGTTTAAGAAATCTTTGGAACAACTGGAAAAGTGTATCTTGGACAGGTGATTATGTGAAGACAATATGAGAATTTCAACGTTTTTGCCTGCCAGAAGAAAAAGACTCCTCATTCATTCTACTCCAGGAATAGTGTTAGCATCAAATTACAAAGCCACATGTTTCAGCTCAATATAAGAAAAACAAAAGTATGATGTATCAGAAAACACTCAAATATCCTACCTTGTGAAACTGTGAGTTCCACGCCACCAAAACAGGGTAAGCAGATGCTTACTGACTCCTTACTGGACATATTCCATGAGGGCCTGCAATTACATTTCAGTGGTCAAAGGACTGTCTCACCAACCTCACGATTCTGTGATTGTACTGAATCAATTATCAATATTTTAATTTAATTGATTACATGGAATAGCAGTGAACACCTCAGGAGAATCTTTGTTTCAGATAACACTCATTGTTTCATTGATGATATTACTCAAATATATGAATATGTGTAAGAAATCTGCCACATCTGCTTTTTTTGTGTGTTCTAGCTCTACTTCCTTAGCTTCCATGGCTGGGAAGCCTTTGGAGAAGCTGACAGAACTAAAGGAAGAGCTGCAATGAATGAGGGCCTTAAAGGTTGGGCTGGGCCTCAAGGCTTCCAGACTCTTCGTGCTACTCTGATTCTGGCACAGCTCTTCTTGCTCCTAGATGCACACAAGTCTTTTCAATATGGTCCCAAATTTTTATATAGCTAACCCTTTAGCTCCAGATGGAAGGTCCACATCCTTAGAAGCTCAAAACATCTGAAAGCATTGGCCTGTCTTGGTTAAGTTGCATATCATCTCTGAACCAGTGACGATTCCCAAGGAAACAGGAAAAAAAATTGGTGGCTTGCCTTGATCCATGTATCCTTCCAAGAGTCAAAGCACAGGAAGCAGAAAATCAAAAGTTATAAAGCACACATGGTGCCCACAAGCAATTTCAGTCCACAGTAATCTCTTGTCCTTTTCTCTTTCATGATTGTTTCCACTTACTATTTCATTGTATGTAGTTATGAAAGTTATAGCCAAACGCATTGGTGTTACCTACAATTAAAAATACCTGCATATTTATTTTCCCTTTATACATATAAACACATTTTAAAATTTCACTTGCTTTGAGGGATATAATTCTTTGAATTTTAGTTATCTGTGTAGTTTTAAACCAGCATAACAAAATCAATCTGACTGAAAGGTTTGGTAATTAAGAAACACAACCCTAATCTCAACAGTGCCTCCAGCAGGGCACAGTGGCTCACGCCTGTAATCCCAACACTTTGCGGGGGCCAAGGCAGGCAGATCACCTGAGGTTAGGAGTTTGAGACCAGTCTGGCCATCATGGTGAAATGCTGTCTCTACTAAAAATACAAAATATTAGCTGGACGTGATTGCAGGCGCCTGTAATTCTAGCTACTTGGGAGACTGAGGCAGGAGAATTGCTTGAACTCGGAAGGTGGTGGTTGCAGTGAGCTAAGATCATGCCACTACACTCCATCCTGGGTGACAGACCGAGATTCTGGCTCAAAAAAAAAAAAAAAAAAAAACATAGCTTCTCAATTGATAAACAATTCCAATCACATTCAACACCACAGAAAATCTGTGAAGGGGCTCTGAAGAATGCCTCCATGAGCCTTGACCAGGAGCCTCTTCTGAGGCTGGACCTTCCGGGAAGAGCTTGCTTAATCAGGCTGATGAATATTGCGTTAGAGATACTCTTTATTGCCATGGTCTATTTTTAAATGTTTTTTAACTTTATTGTGATTTTATTGTATTTCACGCAGATTTTCAGGATAGAAATTGGAGATTTTCTCAGTAAAACACTATTGAATTACTGAAGTGACAATGTAAGCAAATCTTTTTATAGCCTAAATCTGATGGGAATTAGCCTAGATAAATATGGAACAACTGTAATAAGCACACATACATTTTTTCCCTTAGTGCTCAAATTTCACAAAAATAATAGTTGTGAAGCACAAACAGGAACTTTCCTTTATCTTCACCTCATCTTCTGCATTCATAGCAGTAAGAAAAATCATGAACTAAAACATAAAACATTGATGAAAACAGTATAAATTAATACAAGAACTATAGAAATATTAACTGTGGTAAAAATGTGAACTATTTGGTGACAGAGAAGGAGCATTGCCATCTTGGACAAACACGTCATTCTAAAGTTCACCTTAATAAAAAACCACCTAAAGTCAAAGGCCCTAATGACTGAGGTCAGCATGACCATAAACCATAAATAACATCTCCAACCAGAAACATTCCAAACTCCTCCCTGACTGGAGACGTGCCAGCTCCGATATAACCCCCATCTGGCCTGGAAGATACCAATCTCAAGATAACTTGCCTCTGGCTGGAAAAATGTCCCAAGATAAACTCCCCTCCTCTCAGAGACATTCCAACCCCGCCATAAAACTTCTCCCTCAAACAGGAGCATTCCAAGCTTCTGATAAGCCCCCTCACCCTAAAACCAATTATACTCTTAGTTTGTAAGAGAAAGCGCTCCTGACCAAAATCAACCAGGAGCGCCTCTCAGGTTTTAACTAAAGAAAACCTGTCTTTAACTGCCAGCCACGTTTCGTGTTTCTTTTCTCCTTCTTTAACTCTTAGATCTGGTATATTCATCCTAGTAAATACTTGGGCCAGTGGAATTTGCCTGAACCAAGAATAATAGCTATACTGGAACATCTTAATTGCATGGTTGGCCACAGTTCAAACTTCCTGGTGTGTATGATGCAAGCCATCCCTTGGGCAATCATGGTTTCCTGATTAACCTGGGAAATGAACGCAGATGACTTAACAGATAATTGACTTTTTGTAGAAGGCCCAAAGCCAGAGAGCAGCAGCTGTCCCATGCAGGTGTTTCAGAATACCCTTGGGTGACTCCAACTGCCTTTGCCAAAGGTTTTCTCTTATGCGCACTGCCGTTCATATTAAGGAGAATGTATCATCTGTTTTAATTTGTTGGGATTGAGTGTGAGACTGCTTCAAACTATCTAAAGTTATGTTACATATGTTCCTAAACTCATACATTCATAATATAAACCAAAAACCTAACTTTTGGTTAAAACACTGGAAGTGATCATTTTAAACATGATGAAAGTTTTCCACTTGAATTAACTACTTTTCATATATTTTTATTACCTTCCTAACATTTTACCTAATTATTTTTGATTTTCAGTATTACTTGAATTTACATAGGTTAAAAATAATGGCAAACATCATTAATCAATGAAATTAGAGTAATATTATTTTTTATTCATTCATAAGCCACTCTTTGACATTTTCAATAAATGAAATTTTAAAATATTATATAAATATATTAAATAATTATAATATAAAATATTGAAAATTAAAAATTTTAGTGTTTACTTACTGAGAAATAAAGTCATGTATGGTTATTATACTATTGAAATATCTCATACGTCCAACTAGCTGGTATAAACCTTAACCAAAAATACAAATTAACTTAGAAAGGTATTAGCAAAAACTGGCACAACCATTGCTCTAAGTAGAATAATGTTTTCAAATTCTGGAACCTGCTCTGTAAAAATAATGTATAAGAGAATTCATTCATATAATTTAACAGTATTTGATGAAATCTTTGTTTACGCTGTCTTGGCCTTTTCTTCCTCTTCCACTTTTTTACAAAAAACCCAAAGGAGGGATTTTCAAGAAGCAACATAACTTCCCGATGTGATTTTACTTAGAATCTAAGTCACAGCCTTAGTTGGTGACTAAACTCCAGTCACCAGAACCATCCTGATCCAGCTACTGCTGATGCTCGCTGTGGAATCTGCCTAGAGCAGCAGAAGCAATTCTATTAATACATCAGAGTGTTGACAAAAAGAATCCAGCTCTGTAAAATATTTGAAGAGATTTATTCTGAGCCACATGCGAGTGACCAAGGCCCATGACACAGCCCTCAAGAGGTCCTGAGAACATGTGCCCATGATGGTCGGAGTACAGCTTGGTTTTTTACACATTTTAGGGAGGCATGAAACGTCAATCAAACACATTTAAGAGATACATTGGTTTAGTCCAGAAAAATAGGACAACTCAAATTGGGATGGAGTTGGGGGGCTTCCAGGTTATCAGTAAATTTAAACATTTTCTGGCTGACAATTGGTTGAGTTTGTTTAAAGACCTGGCATCAGAAGAAAGGCATGCCTGCCTTAAGATGAAGGATTGTGGAGACCCATGTTCTTATTTGCAAAGGCAGCCTTCAGGTAGTAGGGCTTCCGAGAAAATATGTTGTAAAATGTTTCTTATCAGACTTAAAGTCTGTGTTCACGTTTATACCAGAGAGATATAAGGAGATGCCCACTTCCCAACATGACCTAAAACTAACTCTCAGTTTAAATTTTTAAAGAACCCTTGCTGAGAAGGAAGTCCATTCAGATGGTTGGAAGGACTTAGAATTTTAGTTTTGGTTTACAAGAGGAACATTCAGAACTTCAGGCCAGCTAAGCGGGCCATAGCTCTCACCCCGCCATCTTTAGCCACCACCTGAAAGGGAATTTCCTTTAGTCATTATTATTTTTATTTCTCTGATACCCTCATCTCCATTTAGACCTGTGATGCTTCCCACTGTGGATTATTCTTTTAACACACTTCACTATGCTTGCTGGAATTCAAATGTTACCAGAAAGGGGACCCCATCCAGACTCCAAGAGAGAGTTCTTGGATCTCATGCAAGCAAGAATTTGAGGTGAGCCCATAGAGTAAAGTGAAAGCAAGTTTAATGAGAAAGTAGAAGAATAAAAGAATGGCTACTCCACAGACAGAGCAGCCAGAGGGCTGCTGGTTGCCCATTTTTATGGTTATGTCTTGATGGTACGCTAAACAAGGGGTGGGGTCGGATTATTCATGCCTCCCCTTTTTAAACCATATAGGGTAACTTCCTGACGTTGCCATGGCATCTGCAAACTCTCATGGTACTGGTGGGAGTGTAGCAGTGAGGACGGCCAGAGGTCACTCTTGTTGCCACCTTGGCTTTGGTGGGTTTTGGCTGGCTTCTTTACTGCAACCTATTTTATCAGGAAGGTCTTCATCACCTGTATCTTGTGCTGGCCTCCTATCTCATCCTGTGACTTAGAATGCCTAGCCGTCTGGGAATACAGCCCAATGGATCTTAGCCTTATTTTATGCAGCCCCTGTTCAAGATGGAGTTGCTGTGGTTCAGATGCCTCCGACTCAAACACTGGAATCCCTTCCTGGTATGATCCCCATTCCACTACTTGCTTTGTCAGAGATCAGGCTCCCTCCAGAACCATTTGTCAGGAATCAGACACCTTATTCTGTGGTGGCTGGTCATTCTCCTAAACTCCATGGTCAGCCTCCTCCAGGTGCCCCATGGCTACTTTCAAAACTTAAATTTTCAGGCAAGAAAACCCACTTTTTTTTTTTTGAGACTTATGATATTTATCATATGCTTTATCACTTGCATCTACTCACAAGGTTTCTTATTTATTTTTCAAAGTCTTAGACACCTAGCTCACTGTTGCTTCCATGTCATTATCATGCTAGAAGTCTTCAGCACTTGATGAGTAGCACCTCTAACACAGCAGTTCTATCTGCTGACCTTTATTTTGACCTCCCTTGCTCCAAAAGTTACACTTGCTCTCTACTGACTCTCACATGCGCATGGTTAACTCTTACAAGCACCTACATTTTGCATTGCTAAACTTCAGTATTCCATTCTCTAAACTACACATATGCCTATTCTTTCATTGCTTGATTAGGCTATGCGAAGGTCAGAGAATGGGATACTAAAATTAATTAATTTATTAATAAATTGTATTATTTATGTCTGTGTATTGAGAGGTTCTTCATGTCACACACTGAGCTAGTTTGGTTTAAAGACCAATGAGACATAGCTTAAGACTGCTCAGGTTGTGAGGGTATAAAAGTTACTGGGGATAAAGAAGTCAAGATTTTACAAGGATGGGTGCTGACGGGTCAATTACAATTACATTGAAGTTGCCAGAATGATGTAAGAATGTAGGTGGAGAGGAAAT